TCACTTCCAGAGAGGCAATCATTATTCACATATTTCAAGGAAAGAGAGAGACTCCTGTAGGAGAGACACCATTACAATATCGTAAGCTTTACGAACAATGCTGGGATCAAGAACCTAATAATCGTCCAGATATAAAATCAGTTCATGATGATTTAAATAAATTGATTCCTGAATCTGCAAACAATGACATAAGTGCAGGAAATTCATCAAACGTGCTTGAAATAGCTATTTCCCAGCAACAAATAAATAAATTTGATTATAATGAATTCACTAATCCTACTCCAATTCGGGAATTTGGTTCTACACACAAATCTGAGTGGAAGCATTTTAAAATAACGGTGGTTCTTAAAAATTTAATAATAAATGAAACAAATTTCGATAAACATAATCTTCAAGATTTTGTAAAACAAGTACGTATTTGTAATATTTAGTACCATATAGTTCTAAAAATAATTATCCCTTTTTTTGCATGTAATGCTAGCCGAGATCATTATAATGTCGGCAAAAATTGGCATAGTGTGGGCAAAGGTACTTATTTTCGGAACTATACGGTAATAACAATTAATTAGCAATCCATATAAGAATGATAGTATCATTATATATTAACTATAGTGCAAATTACTGTTTTTTATATAATTGTGAAAATTTTTTCCCTCGTTTATTAAAAAATTCTATATAGTTATAAAATTTCAAATTTACTAAACCGATTTTTAATAATTTTTTTACATTATGTTAGAAAATTAAAGTATATTGACTTAGTAAATAATAATAATAATAATAATAATAATTAGCTATGGAGAAAATGAAGATTTCATAATTATAATAGTAATTTGCGCATATGAAATACTATCTTTCTTATACGAATTAGTTTCTAATCGTATATTTATTGATAAAAATCTATTACTTGCACAATTTTCAAAGTTTAAGCTTTTACAAAGAGCAAGCTTTCACCCGAATATAAATCATTTCTACGGTGTAACCAAAAAAGGTATTCGTCTTTATCTTCGGCCGTTCCAACTTACAGTTTGAAAAAAAAGGCTTTAACATAACAATTTAGCCATTACTGTTAATATCTGAAGCTGTCTAACATACATTTAGCATGATTATTAATTTACTTATAATCGAAATAATAAAATTTATTCTACATGTATACTATCAGATGAATACCATATGTCAGTGTTGCAATTTGCTAATAGTGGGAATCTTAGAGAATATCTTAGGTCACATTTTTCAGAACTAGAGTGGATAAATAAACTTCATATTGCGAAAGAGATAGCACAGGGCCTTGCATTCTTACATAATTTAAATATTATTCACCAGAATCTTGTGAGTATATTTTATAATTTATATTATTATTATTATTTATTTTATTTTTATTTTTTTTTACTAATAATGCATTTAGCATTCTAAGAATATCTTGATCCACGAAGGAAGAGCG